TGATCTTCAGTCTTCGAGTAGAAGCTCCATTGTTTCTCTTGTGATAGTGAGGTGAAAATTCGGATCTTCACTCTTGTTTTGACAATAGATACCTTCACGTTATTTCCTTCGGGTAGACGGTGTTCCCTATATCCTTGCTCCATGGAGCAACTGAGTGTTGGATTGTATGCTCTATTAGGTGTCAAGGATGGTGAATCGAAACATCTAGGCTTCAAGATCCATGTGAATGCCCTATGTCACTTGCTATGTCCAAATCTTCTCCTTTACTTCAGTAGTGTAGATGCCCCACACCATTTCCTTTGGGTAGATGGTGTTTACCCGTATCGTTGTCCCTAAAAGCAACTGAGTGTTGGTTTATATGCTCCGTCGAGTGATAAGGATGGTAAACCGAAACTGAGTGTTGGTTTATATTCTGAGCTCAGCCTCTCCAAGCTGGACTGATATTTAGGGCTTCAGCTGGCCCACTCTAAGGTCAGATAACCCTCTTTGTTTGTTGAAGTAGTTTCGTAGCTCAGCCTTTCCAAGATGGACTGATATTTTAAGGCTTTAGCCGGCCTCCTCTAAGGTCAGGTAACCCTCTTTTTTGTTGAAGTAGTTTTGTAGCTCAGCCTCTCCAAGCTGGACTGATATTTTAAGGCTTCAGCCGACCTCCTCTAAGGTCAGGTAACCCACTTTGTTGTTGAAGTAATTTCGTAGCTCAGCCTCTCCAAGATGGACTGATATTTTAAGGCTTCAGCCGACCTCCTCCAAGGTCAGGTAACCCACTTTGATGTTGTAGTATTTTCGTAGCCTCTCTAGGCCGTAGTATTTTCGTAGCCTCTACAAGCCGTAGTATTTTTCCTCTCCAGGCCGTAGTATTTTCATAGCCTCTCCAGGCCGTAGTATTTTCATAGCCTCTACAGGCCGTAGTATTTTCATAGCCTCTACAGGCCGTAGTATTTTCATAGCCTCTACAGGCCGTAGTATTTTCATAGCCTCTACAGGCCGTAGTATTTCCATAGCTTCTACAGGCCGTCTGCTGGTGCTGATCATGTGATTGCCCCTTGACGAGGATTGTTGGTAAGTGGTGCCCTTGTGCTGGTGGGCAAAGGAGTAGATGGTTGACAGAGATTCTGGTGCTACCCTTGCCATGTGAGTATTGTGATGCCTCTTCAGGCGTCTGTTTCTGGTAGGTTTTTTTTTCTGAATTTCATTTTTTGTTTAGCTTCGACTCTTTCATGTTTAAAGCTTGCCTTTTTTGCTATTTTTCTAAAGGCTTCGGCTTTTTCAACATTTGTGAAGCTTGCCTTTTTCTCATGTTGTTTTTACTTTTTTATTGTCATCATTGGTGGAGGGATCTATTCCCATGATGTTATTTGCTGGATCTTTATTGAGGAGTATTATTTTGGAAGCCACTCCTGGCTTTGGTTAGGAAGTCATTCTTGATCTTGGCATTTTCTTAGATCATCATTCATGTAGTTGAGGAGTAGGCGCGATGGCCTCTTCATGTTTATGAGTTTGCTTATTCGGTCGATTCCATTCTATTTCACTATTGATATGTCTTTGCTTAGTGGACACATAAAATCACGTGTCTCATCACATATCTCATCATTTCATCATTGGTGACCCAAGGTACACCTTGCGAGCCTGTTACATCACTAGTGAGCCTAAGGTACACCTTGTTAGCTTGTTACATCACCAGTGACCCTAAGGTACACCTTGTTAGCTTGTTACATCACCAGTAACCCTAAGGTACACCTTGTTAGCTTGTTACATCACCAGTGACCCTAAGGTACACCTTGTTAGCTTGTTACATCACCAGTGACCCTAAGGTACACCTTGTTAGCTTGTTACATCACCAGTGACCCTAAGGTACACCTTGTTAGCTTGTTACATCACCAGTGACCCTAAGGTACACCTTGTTAGCTTGTTACATCACCAGTGACCCTAAGGTACACCTTGTTAGCTTGTTACATCACCAGTGACCCTAAGGTACACCTTGTTAGCTCATATATGCACATGATGTATGTCACACATTCACGATTTCATTGACTCAACATTTCACTTATCATGAAATTTCAGGTCTTATCACATTCATCACATTTCACATTCTCATAGTCATAACTTATCTTATTTCATCACATTTCACATTCTCAAAGCTTATCTCATTACATCACGTTTCACAACAGCATATTTCATTCACATCATGTCTCATGTCATTTGTTCATATTTCACATAATGATACTTATAAATTATTCCTCATAGGATTTCGCACAAGAACTCACAGAGCACTCTAATTCATATCAAAACTTATTTAATTTCAAAATCAATTACATATTTATACTCTACATCACACAAGGAACGCAACAAAACATTCAAAAAGCAAAACAGAAAACATTCATATTTTGGCTATTCTTAGAAGTGCATCAGGCAAGGGACTGGGGGCCAATACTACTATCCAACAATTACTCCCACACCCCCGAGCGAGGTTACTCCTCCCTTACTTGGATGGGCAGAAGACGAAGCTAGAGTGAAATTTGGTCAATCTCCTTCTCTTGGTTCTCTTTGGTCTCTAGAGAGTGTGTCTAGAAACAATGCCAGAGTGCTCTATTTATAGATTTCAGTAGTCTCCAGAACGGCCCATTTCAAATCCGGAACGGCCCGTTCTGGACTCGTTTGTCATGCGTAAATTTCACATTCAAAACGGCATGTTCCAAAACTAGAACGACCCGTTCTGAAATCATATTTTACATACAACGGCCATATCTGGAACGACCTGTTTCCAAATCAGAACGACTCGTTCTAGCTTCGCATTTTACTCACAAAATCAAGTGTTGGAACGGCCCGTTCCAGTCTAGTCTTTATAAACCATTTTAGTAGTCTGGAACGGCCCGTTCCAGTTTGAGAACGGCCCGTTCTGGGCTACTAAAAATCAAAATATTATCCAATTTTTTTTTTATAAATATTTATTATTCAAATACTAATAATTATTAAAAACCTTTAAAACATCCTATAAAACCCATTAAAATAACTATAAGAAAATAATCTCCATAAATATTAAAATAAATAATAATTAATCATTATACTAGTAGAAAATTCGGGATGTTACAGGTCTCCCCTCCTTTTTGAAATTTCGTCCCCGAAATTTAGCTGTAAACAGAAATGGGTAGACTCCTTGCATCACTTTTTAATTCTCATGCAACACTTTCCTAAATATTTCCCATAAGAAACTATACTAGTAGAAAATCTCGTGTAACCTTACTACCTCACTAAAGTACATCTCTATCAATCTCTGGAAAGAATATCTAATATCAACAAGGGTAAGGTGAGCCACCTTGGTGAGTCTATCCACTAACCAAAAAAGATCAAATTTCTTAAGCATATCAAGCAAAACTACAACTAAGTTCATAGACACAAAATCTCACTTCCAAACTAGGGCGTCTAAAGGCTGTAAAAATCTTAAAGACTTCTAGTGTTCCACCTTAGATTTATGGCATACTACACATGAGTACACAAATTCCTCTACTCCTCTCTTCACCTTAGGCCACCACGCTTCCATTGCGCCACTCTGATATATCTTAGTAGCTCTTAAATGAATGCTAAGAGTATTCATATGTCCTTTTTCTAAGATCATCTTCCTAAATTCAAGATTACTAGGCACATAGATCCTATCATTGAACCCCAAAACACCATCAACTTCTACTTGTAAAGGGTTATCTATACCCCTACCAATCCTCTCCACTTGGTTCACTAAGGAAGGATCTAACTCCTAGGCTTCTCTAATCTCATCCATTACTTCACTAGTCACTTTCGACATACTCAATTCAATGCTTCTAAGGGTAAGCTCTCACATCAAGCTTAAGTCTATAAACTCTTCAATCAAATCCAATCTTTAAATCATCAAAGATGATAAGTGAATGATCATCCTACTCAAAGCGTTTTCCATATCATTAGTTTTACTTCTATGATTCTCTCCAAAGATCAAACACCTAAGAATAAGTTCACTAGGTACACATACTCAGTCTCAAAGTCTTACCACTTCATCTATACCCAAGGCAAACTTCTCTCTATTACCTTGTCCTATAGCCTCATATCTTGTCACCAAAATGAATCAACTAATTGTGCTCCTCCGATTTTCCTTTGACAACCCACTAGTTACTCGAACCATACTTAGTCTCACACTACTAAGGGTAACCTCATAAGTCAAGCTTAAATTTCTAATTTGAACTAAAAGATCCATCTCTCTAATCATAAGGAAAGGCAAATATAAAGGTTTCTTACTCAAAGCATCGGTCACCACATTGGCTTCACCTAGATAACAGCTAAGATTAAAATCCTAGTCCTTAAGAAATTTCAACTATCTCCTTTGGTCAAAAGATATTTAAGGCTCTAACGATCAATAAATACCTCAAGCTTAGAATCATATAGGTAGTGTCTCCAAACCTTAGCATAAATATTACAACCGCTAACTTAAAGTCATGGGTAAGGTAATTCCTCTAATGAATTTTCAATTGCCTAGAAACATAAGCTACTGCTCTTCCTTCTTACATTAACACTCCATCCAAACCCCTCTTAGAAGCATCACTTTATACCACATAAGACTTACTAAAATCCGGTAATATTAACACTGGTCAATATTTCCTTAAGAGTTTGGAACCTACTCTCGCATTTGTCATCCTACACAAAGGCAACTCCTATCCTAGTCAATTTGGTTAAAGGTACGACTATCTTATAAAATTTCCCCGATGAACCTCCTATATTAATCAGCTAACCCAAGAAAACTCATAATCCTCACTAATTGACTTAGGTATCTCCCACTTAAGCATAACTTTTACCTTAGACAAATCTACGTTATACCTCCGCTAGAAATTGCTAGACCTAGAAAACTCACCTCATATAATCAAAAATCATACTTAGATAACTTAGTATAAAAATGCCTTGGATATATCCTCATCCTCAACTCTAATATGATGATATCACTCCCTAAGGTCAATCTTACTAAACACACAAACACCCACTAATTAATCCATAAGGTCATCTATCCTCGTATCAAGATACTCGCATATCAAAAAATCTAAACAAGATATAGGCAAATCCAACTTTTGGACACAAGAGACAAAAATAAAGGAATGAGTTGCACCAGAATCAAATAGTAGAATAAAAGGAGTCTCAACTATGAAACAAGTACCTTGTATCAAATTTTTTGACCGAGCAGCTTCAGCACCACCAAGAGAAAATACTCTCCCTACAGCCTTTAGACGCTTAACTTGGACATCTGATCCAGTAACACGTGGTCTTGGCAGTTTAGGACACTGGGTGCTGATGTGACCATTTCCTCTACAATTGAAACATGTGACATCCTTGTCAAGACATTCATAGCTAGTGTGACCACGTCGCCCACACTTACTGCATTGATCCGTGGGAGTAGAAACAGAGCCTCCAACACTCCCTGTGCCACTCACCACAGATCTTCCAGCATAAGGCTTGCTTCCTGCAACATGTGACTTGCTCCCACTAACAGCAGCTTGACTCCCTTGGAACTTAGAAGGAGCGGAGTAAGGTTTACTCCTACTCGAAGCATTAGAACTTGTAGCACGCATAGGACCTCCAACTCCCTTGTAGAAAGCAGCCCGTGCACGGTTGTCACGGTCAAAGATGCGACACTTGTTCACTAAGGTTGGAAAATGGTAGGTCTCCTGATAGTTGATCGCTGTTTTCACTTTGGGACGTAACCCATTCACAAACTTAATGCATTTAGCACGTTCACCACCCTCACCATGATAGTGGGAGCAATAACGAACCAATGAGTCAAACTTGGCAGCATACTCTACTACAATGTCATTCCCTTGCTTCAGCTCAAGGAACTCCACTTCCTTTTGACTCCTCACATCATCCGGGAAATACTTCTCAAGGAAGACCCCCTTGAAGTTGTCCCAATTCAAGTGCACCCCTCCATCAATCATCCTCTGAAGTGCTCATTCTCACCAAAAGTGGCCATCAGCAATCAACATGAACGTAGCCAACCTCACCTTCTAAGCGAGGGGACACTCCATGGCATTGAAGATCTTCTTGATCTCTGTTAGCCAATTCATAGCAGCATCTAGGTCATATCCTCCTTTGAAGGTAGGTGGATGATTTTGCTAAAATTGCTCCAACCAGTTAGGAGCGACTCCAGCCCTATCGTTATTAATCATAGCTTATGCTAACGCTTGAAGGGCATCGGCAATCACATGATCATTTCTATCAACCATAATCTAAGAAAATAGTACACATAATTAACAAACATAATCAATCATCACACTACCATATCAATAAGTTCTACAATCAATTCATTCCATCATTCATATACCAAACAAGCATAACAAACTCATAACTCACGACCGATTGGATCAACCTGCTCTAATACCACTAAATGTGATACCCTCTACCCCAACATACATATACAATAATTATAAAAATAAAATAAAATTCTTCATCATTAAAAATGAAATCTCTAACCACATAAGGGTAAATAGTTCACATTCATAAACTTAATCCAAATAACATGTCAGTGAAATTACAAGAAATAAAGCTGAGTTTTCAAATAGTTAATGGAAATAGCATCTTAAACTAAGCCTAGCTATGCCTCGATGTCACATATCCTATCAGAGCATGCCCAACTGAAGCCTAAGCCTCATCACCAACATCCTCATGCTGATGATCACCTACAACACAATTTAAACACAAACAAATAACAACAAGGGAGTGAGAAACATCTCACTCAGGTTCAGGTGCAGAAATAAAGGTTAGATAGCACACACACACACAAAAAACATATTACATGTCATAAACATCAATCACATATAAACAATACACGTACATAATCAGTATCACATGTACACTCGTTTATCATGCAATGATATCATGGACTCGACTCATAAATGCATGTGGCGCCAGTCACGTGTCTCATCACATATCTCATCATTTCATCATTGGTGACCCAAGGTACACCTTGCGAGCCTGTTACATCACTAGTGAGCCTAAGGTACAACTTGTTAGCTTGTTACATCACCAGTGACCCTAAGATACACCTTGTTAGCTTGTTACATCACTAGTAACCCTAAGGTACACCTTGTTAGCTTGTTACATCACCAGTAACCCTAAGGTACACCTTGTTAGCTTGTTACATCACCAGTAACCCTAAGGTACACCTTGTTAGCTTGTTACATCACCAGTGACCCTAAGGTACACCTTGTTAGCTCATATGTGCACATGATGCATGTCACACATTCACGATTTCATTGACTCAACATTTCACTTGTCATGAAATTTCAGGTCTTATCACATTTAACACATTTCACATTCTCATAGTCATAACTTATCTCATTTCATCACATTTCACATTCTCATAGCTTATCTCATTACATCACGTTTCACAATAGCACATTTCATTCACATTATGTCTCATGTCATTTGTTCATATTTCACATAATGATACTTATAAATTATTCCTCATAGGGTTTCGCACAGGAACCCACAGAGCACTCTAATTCATATCAAAAATTATCTAATTTTGAAATCAATTACATATTTATACTCTACATCACACAAGGAACGCAACAGAAGATTCAACAAGCAAAACAAAAAACAATCATATTTTGCCTGTTCCTAGAAGTGCATAAAGTAAGGGACTAGGGGCCAATCCTACTACCCAAGAATTACTCCCACACCCCCGAGCGAGGTTTCTCACTTCCCCCTTACCTGGATGAGCAGAAGACGAAGCTAGAGAGAAATCTGGTCAAACTCCTTCTCTTGGTTCTCTTTGGTCTCTAGAGAGTATGTCCAAAAACACTACCAAAGTGCTCTATTTATAGATTTTAAGAGTCTTTAGAATGACCCGTTTCAAATCCAGAATGGCCTATTCTGGACTCGTTTGTCATGCGTAAATTTCACATTCAGAATGGTCTGTTCAAAAACTAGAACGACCCATTCTGAAATCACATTTTACATACAACGACCATATCTGGAACGACCTTTTACCAAATTGGAACAGCCCGTTCTAGCTTCGCATTTTACTCATAGAATCATGTGTTGGAATGGCTCGTTCTAGTCTAGTCTTTATAGGCCATTTTAGGAGTCTAGAACTGCCCGTTCTAGTTTGAGAACGACTCACTCTAGGCTACTAAAAATCAAAATATTATCCAAAAATAATTTTCATAAATATTTATTATTAAAATACTAATAATTATTAAAAACCTTTAAAATATCCTATAAAACCCATTAAAATAAGTATAAGAAAATAATCTCCATAAATATCAAAATAAATAATAATTAATCATTATACTAGTAGAAAATTCGGGATGTTACAATGCTTGTCTCATACATTTAATCCAATTCAAAACTCTTAAAATTGGTTTAGTTAGGTTCACCAAGTGATGGTGAGACCTAGCTAAATCAATTCCTTGAAAAAAAATGGAGGAAAACAAGCCTAACATGTAAAATTTAGCCTAAGCCTTGTAGACACCCAATTTCGTCCGGGGGGCACACAAACAAGGAAATGGACCTCCGTCCTGAAGGAAAGGAGCTCTCGAAGCATGGAAACATGACATCAGAAGACCTAAAGCCTAAAAAAAAGCTAGTTTTGATAGCCCGGAACGGGCTGTTCCCAAACCGGAACGGGCCGTTCCAAAACAGGTTGTTATAAGAAAAATTTGAACCCAGAACGGGCCGTTCCACTTTCAGAATGGGTCGTTCCACTTTCGGAACGGGCTGTTCCAGGTTTTTATTTTACCTATAACAACCTTGCCCAGAACGGGCCGTTCTGAACAGCCCGTTCCAGGCTTCTAAAACCAGCTTGTTTGGGCTTTTGGGCCTTCTAATGTCCTGCCCTTTTTGATGGACTCCTTCCACCAAGGGGTTGATCATGGACGTCCAAGGTGGGAAGAATCTCCTTTCTAAGGCCAAGATGATGGTTTTAGGGGCTAGACTTTCCATCAAGGGTGGAGAAATAAAGGAAGGTTGGTGTGTAGGGTGATGGTTGGGCGAATAGGAGAAAAGGGAGGAGGAAGGTGTCTAGGTGGTTCTAGGTTGGCTCACTTCACCAAGTGGAGATGAAGGCCACTCAATAAACCCTAAACTCACTCAAGGGCGGAGATAGGAGGGGTAGGCCGTGTAGACCTAGTGACTAAGGAGAGGATTTGAGGCACAAAAGGCTCACTCAAATTCATATATTCCAAAGTATTTACAAGGTGTGGTGCATTGGGTATTTATAGGAGGGGATGCATCTAGGGTTGCATTTGGAGTAGGCAAATGCATTCCAAATGAAATGCAAATGAACCCTAGATGCAACTTGGTGGCCAAGGATGGAATCTTTGGGTTTAGATTGGCTATATCTAGGTGCATGATAA